TTTAAAGAAATACAGATTTCAAAGCAAGTCCACTGGAGATCTACCTTATCTATCTAGCTTCTTACAAATAGTTGTCCCTAACTTCACCCACTTTCTATACTTATTGCATATTATAGAACTAATCAAATCATTACAGGATGATGGAGTCTTTTTAGGTCCTCAAGTTCCAAATTAGGGAAGACAATACCAACTACCATCGCATCTCTCATTCTCTTTGTGATAGCCATCCCCATCTCTGCATATGCTGAAGTTGAGCTGAAGAAACCAGTCCAGAGTCATTTTAATCAGCAAACAATAGATTGCTAGAATTTATATTATAATGCTACAAAATAAGCCTCGGGTTTTTCAGGTTTCTTCTTCAGAGTATTTGTTCCTATCCTCTCTGTATTATAGGGAAAACCAAGTCATAACAAGACAACGAAACAATTTCCTAGATAATCATGCAATGGATAGGACTTATAAAACTATAATATAAATGATCTTCCGTAGCTACTATGTTTTCTCTTGTTATTTTCAATAGATTTGTCGACAACACTGGCTTATTATAGTTAAACATACTATCACCTATTTTTATAAAAACTTATCTTTGACTGCATTGTAGTATTTGAGAGCTGTTACTGATTCATACCAGTATGGATATCCTTTACATCTTGTCATGCTCAGAGTAGTTTCCTCTACTTTTAGGGTTGATTCTAACACGCATACCGATTTCTAATAGGATCAGTCAAGGCCAACCAATAGTCTTATGATTCAGATACAATTAAGATCAGTCATAGTAAGACAATGTAAGTAATACAGAATTTCAGCCTAAGTCAATAGGAAAGTAAGGATAGTTGCCGTGGTATAACCTGCTATTTTTGGTTCTAGAGGTCTGTGTCCTCAAATCTGATATGAGTGGACAGACCAGAACAAATTTAATTCAATCTAAATATGTCACTAGGACTACTGTGTCTTTTAAATCGTTATACACCATTAGCAATGACCTCTGCTTTTTTTTTTTTTTAAATATAGTTTCAGAGCTGTCTCTACCAAAGACTAGCTTACCGTCTCTGCCTCATGTCTGCTACTCCACTTTTCTGCTATAATTTGTCCACCTTATTCCCTCATTCCATGGTCTGCCCCGTTCACTGAGGCTTCTCTGCCACTGTAGCCGTAATCCTGATATCTCTTCCTCTCTTTCTCTGTAATGTCCTTCAGCGCTCTCTGTAGGGTTGGATTGGTGGCCACGAACTCCCACAGTTCCTCCTTGTCTTGAAAGTATCTTATTTCTTCATTAATTTTTAGAGAGAGTTTTGACGGATATATGAACTTAGGTTGCATATTTTTTTCCTTCAGGACTTGGAATATTTCTCCCCACTCCCTTCTTGACTTAAGAGTTCGTGATGATAAGTCTGCTGTTATTTTGATAGATTTCCCGTTATAGGTAACCTGCATCCTTTCTCTGGCTGCTTTTAATATTCTGTTTTTTTGGTGGATTTCTGGGATCTCGATTATTATATGCCTAGGCGTAGATCTGTTTTGGTTGTAGGTAGCTGGCGTTCTGTATGCTTCTTTTATCTGGATATCATTTCTTTTTGCTATACGTGGGAAATTTTGCTTTAATATCTCTGTGAATATTTTTTGTATTTCATTTTTGGATGTTCCTGCTTCCTCACTCACATTCTTTATCCTTAGGTTATGTATCTTTTTATCATCTTCCAGTTTTAGAATTGCTTCTTTCTGGTTCCTTGTTATTTTTAAGAGGCTTTTTCTTTCACGTTCATAAGCCCTAAATCTCTCTTCAAGTTTCAGAAGGTTGTCTTTAGTTTCTGTCAAGGCATTTTGCCAATATTCAATGGAGTTCTGAGTTTCCTGATATTCTCTTTGGATCTGTTTCATGTATTCTAAGTTATGCTTAAATTCTTCTTCAGATGCTTCTCTTTCTTTTCTGATTTCCTCAGTTCTTCCATCTGTGTTCTCTTGGGCAGGGCTTGTCATTTCTTTAATTAATCTCTTTATATCTTGCCTCACTTGGATCAGGAGTACATCTTTAAATTCCTCTATGAGATCATGTAAGTACTTTTTAATTTCGGCTGATGCTGTGTCGAGTAGAGGATGGTTACTGTGCTTGTTCTCTTCAGTGTTTAGTTCTCTTGGGTTTAATTTCTCCTGTTGAACAGCTGGAGGTTTTTTTTTTATTTTTATCTCTTGTCATGTTTCTGGTTTCTTTCAGACTGTCCTGGAGTTCTCTGGCCCTCTCCGAATTGCTTAGGGCCTTTCAGAAGCGTGCTGGCTTGAGTTTTTGCTGTCCTCCCCAATTTGCTGTTATCTGGGGAAGGCTGGGATGTAGGGGCGGTACAGTCTAGACTCTAGCCTCTGTGTCAGTTAGTTCATAAATTAGGCTGTACTTTCTGGTTGTCACTGAGTTGTGACTATTTTGTATCTGCTTATTGGGCCCCAAGCAGAGGCTTGGTTTAGCCCCAGTAGCTCCTGCCAGTTCTCTTTGAATCAGAAGCAGCTGGGTAATGGCACAGGATTCTGCCCAGGTCCCAGCCGTTCTCTTCCAAACCTCTCTGTGATAGGTGCACCAGAAAAGCAGATCTGCCCAAAACAAAGATGGCTCCCACTAAGTTCTCTGTGTGGAGCTGAAGCCAACAAGTAATCAGGCTCTGCCAGGACTTAAGATGTCTTCCACCAGCCCTCCCTACAGGGCGACCTGGTGATGTCACTAAGCTGCGATATCTGCCGCCAGGCTAATATGTCTGCACCAGATTCTGTGTTATTGATTTCCCCGTGGTGGCGGGCCAGCTGTTCTCTGGTCAAACCCAGCAGCGGCGGGGTTTTCTGTACTCACCAGGGTCCGGTGCAAGTCCTCGTTCCGGGACCGCCGCACACCAAGCTGTCCACTTTTCCCCCACTCGCGGCTCAGCGCTGACCGGTCAGATTTCTGTGCACCGTTTAGATTTGAATCGCCAGAGCTTTGTACATCCGCTCTGGTGCAGCGGTGCAGAACTGGCTGCTACTTGGAGTCTCGATCTGGGTCTCAGTTTCCCGCGGTCTCCAAAAGCAACTCAGCTTTTCGTGCTGGGTCCACGAGTCTGTTTGTTGATTTAAGGGCGCGGGATTTGTAGCCTCCGGTCTCAGCACGACTTTAAATCCTCCAGTTGTACTGTCTTGGTTAATAAGGATCGCTATCGATTTGTCTGGTCCTCTCCATGCTGTCTTTTTTTATCTTTGAGTTTGAATTCTCTGGAGAGATTCTTCGCTCGATCTCCTAGCTGGCCGCCATTTTACCTACCCATTAAATATATTTTTAATTCTCATACATTTTATTTGATTCTTTCACAAATCTGTCCAGTCCTTTTCAAGAGTTTTATTTTTCTTTCTGCTTTTCATTTTAAAAGTTTTGTTTTGTTTGTTTGTTTTTGTAGTGGGAATTGAACTCAGGACCTTGCACTTGCTCGGTAGGTGCTGTGCTGCTGAGCTATATCCCTGGTGAAAGGTTTTATAATCATTACCTGGCTACTTTATTAGTGAAGTTTTTTTCTTTCAATATACTCCTATCGTTTTTTCCCCCCTCACATGTTTTGCAGTTTTTGAGTAAGAGCTATTGTCTCGTTTGGGGTCTAGTCTGTGGAAATCCTGCAAGGCCTCACTTGAGTATGTGTCTTGAGTATGTGTCTCTTTAGAAAGAATGATTTTCATATCTGCCAAATGTCCCAGAGTGATTACAAGTTTAGAAACTCTTTGGATGTTACAATATTAAATCTAGTTATAAAGGTAATAAATTCCAATTAGACTACCAAAATAATTAAAATCCAAATTCCAACACACATGATAGCTCGCCTTTGCTTTCGCATTCTTTAGATTTTTTTTTCATACCAGATTCAGTACCATAGACTTCCTTTTTGCCAACAGGTAAATTATTTTTTAGCTCTTTTTTCATAATCCTGGACCGCCTCCCTGCGCGCACACACACACACACACACACACACACACACACACACACGTCCCAGCCTTGCATAAGCCTGGTGACTTTTCTGTGGCTGTGTGGTCAGGTTAATAAATTCTGCCTGCATTTAGGAACAGCAGCCCTGACTGCTGCCCAGCGACTATGCGCACCTTATTGCCAGTCTGACTTACAAGGACTGGGGTCCTGGAGACTGTGCTTTCTTTCTTGAAAACTGAATCATACTTTTTAAAAAAAAATTGTTTTGACATTTGCTGGTTGTTTGTATCAAGATTTCCTGATTGTCCAGTCTACTATTTTTTCCAGAGGTGGATTTATTGATCTTTCCCAGTGATCCTATAACTTTAGAAAAATCCAGGTTAGTTCAGCAGTTACTAGTAACCTCCCAGCACCAGCCATTCTTTGGAGGAATCTTAGAATTTCATCTTCCTCACCATCCTGCAACTGTCAATTAGGAGGATCCCATTTGTATGTCTTCAGTGTGTCAGTCTGTATTTTAAACTTGATGGTAAGAAAAGTTGTGAGAAAAGAAAGAGAAAAAGTTGTGAAAGCCATGAAAAACACCGCACTGCAGAGTTTCCAGTTACAGAATTTTATTCACTCTAGAGGGACAGCTTATAATACAGCTTCTAAAAGACATTCTCAGATTCAGGCTTTTAAAAGTTCTATGTAAATTCTTCAGAACAGTTCTTTAAATGAAATAGTAAAGTATGGCTATAAAGAACCATAAAGAATACTGTTTTTCAGAGTATTACACAAAAAAACTGTATTCATAGATTGGTATAAGATTTAACATACGGTAAGAAGACAATATATAGCACATTGTTTAAAAAAGCATTATATTGTATAAAAGTCATCAGCAGAAAAGTTTCAGTAGTTTGAGTAAAATCGGTGTCTTCAGGTAAAATTTTAGCACTTAACTTCTGCTCTTCTAACGTATGGATTATATTACTCTTATTTATAAGTGCACATGTACACACACAGAGTAAGCAGAGGAGTTACAGCAGAGTTCCCATATTCTTTAACCTGTGTTTCCTTTCTTTGCATTTAGATTTTCTTGTACCTCAATTTGAGAGATGTGTTGATCTGTGGCCAGGTTAACCACTCCTGGATGTCGATGACACAGATGAACTTGCTGTGGAACTCAGTGAGTAGATACTCACCTGGGTGGGGATGCTTTTCTGGAAAGGCGAATGGACTGGTCAGGCTGGCCATGGTGGGGACCTCCTTCTCCCTGCTCTGACCTCTGTGATCACCAGCAGCAAGTGCATTCATTTTTCTTTGCTCTGGACACAAGCCTGGCAGACAAAGTAAAAATGATAATGATGTTATTTTAAGAGACGTGTTAGTATTTTAAAATTTAAACAACTGGTATAAATTGACTGTTATGTTTGAGTTGAAGCAAAGCCCCTTTTATTGAATAGCTTATATACTTCTTTCTGGTTTCATTCTTAATATGTGTCTGACTCCATTTTATGAGCACAGACTCTATATGAGAAAGACAGTGTAAAATGTGTAGTTTGTAATAGTTTGTAGTGACTATACAGAGCTCAGAATGATCAGTCATAACTCAAGATTTGGACGGGTTAGCTCTACCAAAAAGAGTGACCTCAGTGTACTTGGCTGATTGTATGTAAAATTGACAAGAGCCAGGTTTATGTGAGCTCTGACTGGCCAGGGCTGATGGATAAGCCATAACATTGATATAATATTGAGAATATTTTTAGCTAAAAGTTCAAGTTTTTAGATGAGACACTCAGTTTGTGAACACTCACTTTCCAATTTCATCATTTCTCATTGTTTCTGAACAAAGCTGTCGTTTGTGCTTAAATGTTTGTTATCAGTACCACATTTGCACACTCACTAATAAAGGCAGAAATAGGATCAGTGGGGCAATATCTAATTATGGGAAGAGAAACTTACTGCACATAGAAACCTAAGCCCCCACCGCAGCTGTGGTCCTCACTGCTGTGTGTTCCTGTCCTCCTTGTCTTTATTCAGTGTGGTCTCAGGGCAGAAGTGATGGCTTTTTCTGATTCCTGCCAACTTTCTGCAGGATCTGTCCTGATCATAATACTGCACATATTGTTTTCCACTCAGAGCATTTGGATTCATTTTTCTTCTTCATGGATTTTTTTCCAAGGAAAAAATAACACCCCCAAATGTCCATCCCAATAGTAAGATTACTTTCAGCCAGTGGTTCGGGCTGCACCAGCACCACCAGGAAATTGATGGAAATGCAGAGTCTCAGGCCCCAGCCTGAATTACTGACTCAGAAACTCTGCGACAGCAATTAGTAGTCTGTTTGAACAATTCCTATTCTGACACGGATTCAAGTTTTAGAATTATTGCCTCACGCTAACCATGTCAGGAACGTCTAATCCGTTGGCTAGGACAGAATCTGTTCTCCCCTTGCCAGTGTTACCCTGTGCTATCAGAACAGGGCAGCCGAGTGGGGGACAGTGCTCTGGCAGACTGCGATGGTGCTGGGTTGCCTTGGGCATCTGCACCCGTTGGCACCTTGGTACCTCCCCTTAGCATCACAGTCTGAGCACTGGAGATCATTGCTCCTGCAGTCACTGAAGACAGGGAGGGGCATTCAGGTCAGATATTGACAGAGAACATGACAGCCACTGAACATTGATCAATGGAATAAATGATCATAGCGGTTGAGATTCTAGTGTCATCCAAGGAAGAAATGAGAAAAGCAACTGGCGACTATATGCTGAGTTTTTACTGTAGGCCAAGCTCGCTCCCTCGTGTGTCTTTGGAATAAGAAACACAGGCACACTCCAGGTTACAAATTAGTAGTTGGGCAAGGACAGGGCAACCAGTCTGGAAGCCCGCCAAGCCATCACTGGCGTGGATGGTGTCTGTGCACATGTAATGAAGGGGGCTTTGTTTATGTGCTGTGCTTTTCAGCCCCAGTCCATGCTTCATGCACAAAAATTTCTTCATGTTTTATGCTGCTTTGTTTTATTTATTTGAACTAATAGTTGTTTCCAATTTTTATGGCATGCCCTTCTATTCCAGGGGTGACAATACATTTGCATTTTCTGAATTTATCCCTGTGGCCTACTGAGTGAGACATTGTTATTTTTCTCATTTTATGTATGAAAAAAAGGACAGACAGAAAGGAAGACACAAATAAACCAAAAAGCAAAAGCCAATATGCTTAGTTTAGTAGTACAATAGCCTGAGTTCAAGGTGGGTGTTTAGGTTGGTAAGCATTTCGATTGGAATTCAAGCTCTTCCCTGTCTGCCTGCAGTGTGTGCCCTTGTTACCCAGTGCTTATAAGGGACTGACAGGCCTACCGTGTGATGCCCCCTGTCTGGCATCACAGGATTTCTGCTGCCCAGGTTCTTGTAAAATAACAAAATCTTGACCTCCGAGGATCAACTTTCATCAAAAGATTGTCGTCGAAGAGTAATGTTCCAGAATGATTTGGTCTATCAATTCTTGTAGATACTATGAAGTTTGTCTCTGGGCTGAATTAGACAATAAGAGAATAGCATAGCTGGGCCATATTGTTTTAGGTTTTCTCTTTCTGAGTTATACCTTTTTGCCCTGAATTCAGCTTCTGTCCAGTGTTTAGTTTTATGAGGTCCTCGATTTACTTAGGCAGTCTGTTACCAAAATATATTTAGTTTATTTCCTTCTTTTGCCACTGAAATCCTCTAGTGGACATCACAGTCCTTATTTTAAAAATATACATATCTGATTATATCTGCTAATTTCTAGAAGCAACATTATTGGGTAAAGGTTGGGTTGATTGATAATTGCAAACCTTTATGGAGTTTTGTTTTGTTTTTGGTACTGGGAATTGAACTCAGGGCCTCCCGCTTGCCACGTAGGCGCTACGCGGCTGAGCTATATTCCTGGCCCAGTTTATGGCATTATGAATACCTTTTACTCCAAAATTTTCTTGGATCTCTGTGTTTTTGATATCCGATATTGTTATTCTGTTGTGTGTATCTTCACTCAGAAGAGAGAAGGATGCTGTCCCCCATGTTAAGAAACCGTTAGTGGCGTGGACCTTAGCTCAGCAGTGGTGTTTGCATAGCATGCACAGGCTCTGTTTACTGTTGCACCAGAAAAAAGCCATTTGTGTTTATATTTTTTATCCTAATGTCTTGCATTTTTTTTTGTCAAAAAATCTAGTTCAAATCCTTTCTGAAAGTGTGCATTTGCGTGTGTTCCTTATTTTAGTTATGAAATTTGCGTATGGTACGAGAGGAGGGAGAATGTTAACATTTCAGTCTCGCTCTCTATTTGGAAATGATGTGCTAAAGAGCTTTTAGTCCTTGATGGTTTAAAATATTTTAAATTTTTACATGAAATAGACCTTTCCTGTTTCTCATAATGCCTTTCATTTATCCTTTTAGATTGATTTTTCCACAGTGAAAAGCGTGATTGCAGATAAATTTATAGTGTCTACTCTGCAAAGGTGGCGTCTGAATGTGCTGCGTTTGAATTTTCGTGGTTGTGTTCTCCGAACAAAAACTTTGAAATCTGTCAGTAAGTGTGTTCGTGGCAACTATCTGTCTTGTTTTCCTGTAGCTAATTAAGTCAATATATAGAAAAGCATAAATTAAATGAAAACTTCAGTGATGGTCTGAGATCCTAAACTGCACCCATTTAAAACACTTATAGTAGGGTTAGTTGGTCCTTTGGCATTCTCCTGGGTCACTGTTTATTGGTCCATCATTTGTCCTCCATGTAGCAACAATTTACCTAGTGAAAATATAATACAGAAAATATAATACAGGAAGACAGTCTCAGGTTAAAAATATTATAATAGTAAAAGCATCTCCTTTCCTCCTGCTAAAGCCCTTTCACTTGTAGAAAGGCAGCCAAAGTTATACTTCTTAAAATTTTTCTAAAATATCTTTAAATATACATACATGCTTCAAAATACACAATTTTGCCTTGGAACGTGAAAAAAGTTGTATTGTTTTAATTTTCTTTTATGTTTTGGAAACCCCTCTTTGTCTATAGATTGAGTTCTTCTTAAATGTTAATCTGTAAAGTTCTTACCTAAGTTCTAACCTCTAAATTAAGTTCTTTTTAAATGTTGTAAAATTATTTCCCATATTATAAATGCACTACAATGTGTTTAATCTTCCAATTGATGAACAGGGAAGTTATCTTCATTTGTTTTTTTTTTCAATTTTATTTAAAGAAAGAAAAAAACAAAACAGTAAAAGGGTACAAGTAATACAGAATTTCAAAAAAAATAAACAGAAATCACTAGTTAATAGATTACATATTGTCCTCTTAGAAATAGTTGTTCAGGTTACAAAATTAAAGCATACAAAGTGGACATTCAAACAGTGAGCCAGCAAACAGTTGTGTTCAATGATTCAACAAAAACTTAGTAATATGGTCATCTATCTTACACACCTAAACACCCTTGTAGTTGTATCGTTTAGAGCACTTTCTTTTCCTCTCTTTTTTACAATAACAATTACACATTTTGGGTTTTATCACTCCCACAGTTCTTATTACTTTTTTTTCCATTTGTTTTCAAACTGCTTTGTACTTACAGTGTGATATTTATTTTTAATCTATGTATCCTTTGGATGCAGTTTGTACTTAACATATATTTTTGAAATGAAAAAACTATATAGTATACAGTCAGACAAAAAAATATACATCAGAAAAAGAAAAACATATAAATATTTTAATACTAAATTTATTGAGATAACATAGGGTTAATACAAGTTGGCTTTGGCCTCTTCAATTACAAGAGGTATTTAAAGTGGTGACTATTACTAGCTTCCAGACATTTATTAGTATGACAAACTGCTGAAGTGTTTGCACATTTTTTGGTGAAAAAAGAATATGATCTATGCTTACTCCAAACAATAAGGATGCTATCTATATTCATGTGTAAATATCAGCTTGGGTAAGTCTAAAGATGGTAATGAGTAAAATCAAACTGCAGAATGACATATACATAAAACTATATATATGTAAGTTATATTCTCCATCATCCAACATAATTTATATACAGTTCTTCAATGTACAAAGTAACACATACGCAAATCATTATTTTGAAATCACTGTGATAATATTTTTAAGAATACATGTACATGTAGTAACTTGCATGAGAATGAAAATTTCCAAATTTAAGGTGGCACTATGCAATGGAGTGGAAAGTATTTTAATGCAATAGGGAAGAGATATATGAAGAGTTTTAAATGTACAATAACCTGTAAATTTTTATTGAAAAAGACAAACTTACAAAAGAGGGTAAGCTGGTACTGAAACTACACACTGAACGGTGTTATTGGATCAGACTACATGTTAAGCTCTCTTCTTGGTTTTAATAGTTTAGCAGTTGATTATCCTGGAGTTTCTAGGAGGACTATCTTATCTGACAGTTTTATTTCCATTTCTTATATCTTTTCTCCCACTTTATTATACTGCCTAGGACCTTTCTACAATCTTGAAAAGTAGTCAGGATAAGCAGGGAGCTGGTCTTGTGCTTGACTCCTTTTTTGCATATGTCTCATGATGAGGATAATGTTAATGTGATGTATTTTCACTTCTGGGATTCATCCTGTGTGGCGAATGTAATGCTTTTATAACAGCCATCACCTGCATATTTTTTATTCAGTCTGGTCACTCTGCCTTTGGATTTTTAGAAACTGTTCATTTCTGATTCATCAAGACCTCCTGTTCAGTTTTCTAAATGTGCTACAGGCTTTTGGGAAAATTTTCAATTTTGTACTTTAGGCAAGAGAAAGAAATTGAGCATATGCTTGCTGCCATTTTGAAGCAATTGGTTGTTTTTGGGTGACAAAAAATTGTAAATGTTAAAGTGGTAGCCACTAAAATCAGTCTCCCTTCCTTCCTCCTTCCTTGCTTCCCTCCCCTCCTCCCTTGCTTCCTGTCTCCCTCGTTCTCTGTCTTTGCTCTCAATATTTTCTATATATGAGGTGTAATCAAAAACTGTCGTGAATGTTTAAATCTTTAATAATTATCACAGTTAAACGTGCATTGCCATTAATCCCACTCAAAACACCCCTTGTTGCTTTGAACACGTGCCATTCTTGCCACTTTCCGGAGCAGCTCAGGAAGTCCTGTTTCGTGAGTCCTTTTGGTTGCACCGTGATGGCTACCTTGATGTCATAGAACAATGCAAAATACGTTCATTTATGATCATTCAACTTTGGAGGAGAGCCACAAGTTTCATGGTGTCAAATCTAGTGAAGAAGGTCGATGAGGACCACCGTCCGGTTTTTACAAGCCTGCCTTTCAGAGCGATGGCGATCGGCAGCAGCTTTCACTTGAGTTTGATCACACTTTGTAAAGACACTCATGAAAGGAGGCGTCCAGAACTGCTTCGGATCAACTGGGTGAGCGTTCATATTCAAACAAGGGAAAAAACGTCCAAGGGTCAGGGCAATATGTTATTTACTGTAATTATTTTTAAATTTAAACATGCAGCAAAAAAAAAATTTAAACATACATCATATTTTTGGTTAGACCGTGTGCATAATGCATACACATACAGAGAGAAATAGACATTAAAATAACCTATTAAGTAAGTCTACAATTTTGAAAAAAGAAAATGGGCTCAAAATGCAGGATTTAGGGTTTTGGACTGACCTAAAAACTTCATAGCAGCAATAGTAGTTGAAAAATGGGATAAGTTTTTGAAAAATGCTTCTATGAAATTTGTTTACTAATTGTAAACTATAAAACTTATTCATCTAACCATTAAGAATAATTTAGTAACAATTTTCACAGCGTTGTATAATCAGCACCTGTATCTCATTCCAAACTTACTCTGAGCTAAGACTTCCTGAGTCCTATGTCTGCACGAATCACAGTGGCCAAGAAGTAGGGAGAGAAAGGGGGAACCTTTCCCTTCTTTTAAGTGGAAGCCTGCAAAGTCTTCTATGTGCCCTATGGTTCACGTGGATGCTCTCTTATCACATATCCAATACTTCCTACATGATTGCTCTAGACCAGTACATCAAGATTGACAGGAGTTATTTTCTCCATAGCTTAGCTCTATTCCTTTCTTCTAAACTGAGGTCTTATGACCCTTCACTGGCAAGTCAGCTGTGGGTTCATCAGTGAGTTAACCCAAAGTGAGTGTAACATCCTCAAATCCAACCACCTGCCAAACACAGGAGGCTTTGGGGGGCCATTTTAGATCCAAACTGTCACACTGACCTCCTGGCTCAGCTTCCTCAGTGGCTAGAGCTACAGGCACATACTGCTGAGCCCGGCTAGTGTCTATATTTAAAAGGAATATTAGTCTGTTATTCTCCTTTCTTGGGAAATCTGTCTGGCATCCTCATCAGGGTAACACTGACTTCATCTAATGAGTTAGTTTTCTTTTTAAGATTGAGAAAGATTGATGCCAATTATTCTTCAAAATATTTGTTAGATTTTGCCTGTCAACCATCTGGTCCTAGGATTTTGTTTGTTGGAGATTTTTGTTGGGTTATTTAATATCTTTACTTCCTAGAAGGTTATCTATATTTTGTTTTTTCTTGAGTTGGTTTTGGTAGTTTGAGTGTCTCCAGGCATTTGTCAGTTCTGCTAGTTTATGTAACTAGTTGGAATATTGTTGTTCATATTATTCTCTCATACTTTTTATCCTCTAAGGTCAGCACTGAAATCTTTTAGTAATACTCGTCTTCTCAGATTTTTTTGTGTGAGTCTAATGAAAGTTGTCAGTTTTACTGATTGCTTCAACCAATCAGTATTTTTTGCTTTCTTTTTATTTGTAGAATATATATAGCAGAAAAATGATCATTTTAACACATATAAGAATATAATTCTCTAGCCTTAAGTGCATTCACGTTGTTGTATAACCATTACCATCTATCTCTCGCCTTTTTCATTCCACAAACTGAAATTTGGTGCTGGTAAGTGCCAGCCCCACCCCACGCCCCGAGCTGCTGACAACCATTTCCCTCAGCTCATCTGTTCGTGTGTCCTGAGTTACATGCATTTCTGGCAACAAGCTTGGCATTTGGGTTAAATTGAAGACAAATATTGTCTGATCTTTTGGGCTGTTTGGCTGACTAAATACAATAATCATAGGCCTTAAAACATTGTTTTAAATATTTAAAAAGGCAGCTGACAGCACAGCTTTATTGACTTTAAATAAATTTTCATCACTAGGTTGCTTCTATTTCTTGGAGCAGAAGACTTACTCATATTTGTCAGAAAGAGAAATGCATAAGCTCCACACTAGGGAATAGTTAGTTAATAAATTTTAAAAAATAGGGCTCCATGAAGTTAAATATCTTTCCCCACAAAATGGGGTGATTTCAGATATAATAGACATAGGACTCAGGAAGTCTTAGCTCAGGGTAAGTCTTATTACTTCAGAAGAATCAGAAGGCCAGGTAAAGCAAATTTTTAAAAAACCTATTTTATACAAACACTCAAATGATAAATGTATTTATTCAAATATGTATATCTTTGGATTATCAGATTTTTGAATAGCAAAAATATACTTATCTTTTAAATCTCCTGCACATAAGGAA